TGTGTGTGTGTGTGTGTGTGTGTGTGTGTGTGTGTGTGTGTGTGTGTCTCGTCGTGGCGCTGTCCCGGGTGCTGAAACGCAGCGGAGGAGATTGTTAGACGGACAGTCTCCCAACGTATCAATGATTCATGAACACACAAAAAAAGGAGAGGAATATTCTGTCACTAAAAGAACTTATAGCGACATCAATTAATGTTGTTGTGCCAAATATTAGGAATATAATTCAAATACTAAGTCTTAGCAAAATGAATACATGCAATTATAATAATCATATCAGAAACAGGATTTCTGACACTTAGTCTAGACAGGTTTTGGAGGAGAAAGTCTTTGAAAGAAGACTGGAACGAAGGAACATTTTTCGAAGCCCGAAAGCATTTTGATTATGAAAACATTTAAAACATTTTTTTGAGGAACAACTAGACTCATGCAAAGGTCCTGGTCGCTCACCAGTATCCCCCAGAATTCTGGATCTGACCGGTCCCCTTAGCATACAATAGCTTAAAACCCATATTCCGATGGTCTTCTGTGCCAAATAAGGAAAAGCTCTGGACGGCAGTATGCTGTAGGGACTCGCTACAGACAGGGGAAATAAATAGCCTCACAGCTGTATGCGTCCGCTCAACCAGCTGCACTTTAAATCCACGTCTGTCCAAAATGTCATCACTTCATCATTTTATCCTATATTAGACATTTAGTTAGATATGGCCATAAACATCTTTTGTAAGGTCGCACTGAGCTTTGACCACCAGATTGTGATCACACCCAATGACTCCAAAGTGCCAAAGTTGAATAAATTCCCTGCAGGTGTTGCTGAGACGTTGCGTTCTTGAGAATGGGACAGACGGACGTCCAAATGGACAACCTGAAAACAGAATGCTCTGGGAAGCATAAAAGCAACACAGTGATGAGTGCAGATTGTTACTGTTTTCAATGGCTTTGACAGTACAGACAGTACAATAGTAGCTATGCAGAATGGCGGAGTGCAATAACACTGCTGTTGAAGGATACTGCCAGTGGCAGGCCAAGGACATTGTTTACAAGATCACTTTGGCAGCCGCATTATGCTCATGCACATTTTTCCGTGTTCGTGTTAACCCAGGGTTTCTGGTCTTGGAAGCAGCCGGTGGTTTATGTAGATTGTGTACTGGAAACATGAACGTGACAGCATGATTGACTCCAGTGAGCAGCGAAGTCACATCTAATCTAAAGCACTGGGGCACTGGAGGCTGTGTGCCTCATAACTATGGACAAAGCTGGGAAATGCAACAGCATCGAGAATATGAAATGTTCAAATCATGTTATATTGTCGGTGAGCAATTATACGGAGGTGGACCCGCCTATCCCCTCTAACACGGCTCGGCTTTTGCTGAAACCCTTCAAACCTCTCAGTTGAGCACCTGCCGTGCCGGGAATACTAATTTCCCGCCATCAGGTGCACTTTGTGGCCCTGCAGCATTTAGCATGTGAAATATATGCTAATTTATACAACAGCCACTTCTGTGATATGAGGTGATGTAACCAGGAAGTGTTATGACAGGAGGATTGTGGCCGACACGAGGTGAAACAACCCTTGACATACATATGCTCTCATTTGGTTTGACTTTTAATGTAGAAACATATAACAGTCCTACTACTGCTGCTATTTCATGTCAGGTAGTTCAATATATTCAAAAGCAATTCTCTATTCATGGAAAAGGGCTATTTTGTTAGCCTGGGTCTCACTTGTTTCCCTAAAAAGAATACGCCAATGTCTTTTGAAGGTCATTCGGATATATTTCACATATTTGTTGGGGATTCTCATTGGAAAAGTCATTGTTTTCTACCTAAGAAGCATTTACTTTGGTTCAGTTACCCATAAATATCTCATTAGCCCATGTAAAAAGGCAGCCACCTGTCCTGAACCTATGCAGAATAAGACAAGGGCATAGTTAAAGGTATTGTACACTGTAAGAGCTCTTTAGGCCACATATGGAGAGGGGGGGCGGCCCCATTTTGGTCACTACCAATTCCAAAGTCCTCTGAACATTTTCGAGCGACTAACCCATGTGGTTCATCTCTTCAGTGCGTGGTAGGGAAGTGCATTGGTATCAGCAAGTCATCAGTATCCGCAGATAAAGGCTATAAAATTAGATGAGAAATTGACATTTCCTCCCATGTTACAGGCCAATAAGATGACATGAATGCACGCTTTGCATTTAAGCAGCTAGCAGACTTTTCATTATGTTGTGCTCACACCAAACCAGGCGGCAACCTCCGGTTCTGAAAAGGGAAGCCAATTTCTACTGACCAGCAGGGGGCGACTCCTCTTATTGTATAGGAGTCTATGAGAAAATGACTCTACTCTTGATTTATTACCTCAGTAAACATTGTAAACATGAGTTTATGGTCTCAATCTCTAGTTTCAAGTCTTCTTCAATACAGCATGATGTTAATTTAGTAAATTATGGTCCATTTAGAGTCAAACAGACCATAAAGCAGGGTATGCTTTAGGGGCGGGGCTAATGTGACAATAGCCAAATACGCCGTCACTCCTCTGCAGTCCAAATAGTTTGCAAAAAGCCAAGATGGCGAGGGCCGAACTGCCGAACTCGAGGCTTCTAAACATCAGTACACAAACCAATGGGCGACGTCACGACGCCTACGTCCACTTCTTATATACAGTTTATGCACCAAAGAGGAAGCAAACAAACCTTTTACAAATTGCCATTATGATGTTGTTATTTCGACATCTTTTTAATCAGTTCAGTGCAATTATATCACAGCAAATTCTGTTTATTTTACGGTTCAAACTACAGCGCCTCCAGATGTTATGAACCCAGACACGACATCGTTTGGTTTTCTGGGACTTCTACAACATTTACAAAGCAGCAATAACGGTTACTTTGGTCAGGGTTAATTAAACTTTGTTGGTTTTAACACGCAAAAGTGACGCAAATAAACACAAATGTAACAGCTGTCAAATTTGCGGGACTAACACAAGGCAAGAATTAGCTTCTCATTTTGGTGTGAGCAGTTTAAGTCACCGCCTCCGCCCTCACGGAAACACAGAGACCAAAGCAGAGGAAGCAAACTAGCGCGACAGTAAAGGACAGAAACACGCTGCAAAGACTCTCACTGAAATGAAATGAAATATATTTCAATTCATTTGAGCTTATTTTTATAAAAAAACTGCAGTTTTTCATCGAGAAAATTTGATAATATGAAAGACAACATGGTTCAACATGATTTCCTTTAGAAACTTCTTCATATGACAACAGATTTCCCATTAGCAGTTGATTTGAATGAGAAGGTGTAGCTTCTCTAATAGTTTAAGCTGTCATTTCTTACTGACAGTCAGAAATATGTCTCTGCTCGAAAACCCTCAAAACTGGATAATATGAAAGATAATATGATTTCCTTTAGAAACTTCCTCTAAAAACAGCAGATTTTTCATTTGGCTGATTGTAACTGTAAAAGAAACGCTCAAAATTGGATGAAAGAAAACATAGTTTAACATGATTTCCTTTACAAAACTATGCAAGTTCAATATTATGCATCCCGAGTGTGTACACTCGTGCAGCACACAAGGCGTTATGGAACTCTGTGTCCTCAGTGGCAGCGCCGACATGAGGGACGGATGAAGGGTCTTCTAAAGGGACATCTTCACATTACACATGTTACATTACAGTTTTATCCTTTTGTAATTACCGTCTACCACAAATATATTTCATGCTGTATTTGATCCTTATAGTTTCACTTGAAATTATTTTGTTATTTTGCTTAGATTCCCATTTTTACATGCGTGATTTTCATTTACATATTTAATGAACACTGTATAACTGCACATTACAATAAAGAACTTGAAACATTGCATATTTTGTCTGACAAAGGTAAACAATGTGTTGATTGATCGATTTGACAACTAAATGATTAATCAGAAACTCTTCTGACAGCTAATTCGTCATTTATGTGATTTCTGTTCACAGGTCCACATCTCTGTGAACAGGTGTCGTCTTTTCTGCCAGATATCACCATGAAACTTCCCCAGTTGATTACTTACATTTTTGTATTACAAGTTTTTAACAAATGTTATGTTTTCATATGCAAATGATGCATTATCTTATCAAATGTGCTAATTTGCACACATTTCCAGAACAGAAACGTGAACACTGGACAAAGCCAGGATCACAATTCTTGGTGAATTTTGTTGACGTATAGTCAAATGTCTTGACAGAGGCAATTTTGTATATTTCTTATTCTGTCAAAAATAAATGTCTCCATGGTTTTAGGAACAAAATGTTATATATATATATATATATATATATATATATATATATAAAATATGACTGATGTATGAACAAACCCCTTGGTAAAAAGCTTCAGAATGTAGAGAGGTGTATGTAAGAGCTACTGAAGAGATTTATGGATCAGAGTCATTTAAATAAATAATACACATTATTATGAACCTTCTCCAGCTGATTACTGACATTAATACAACACATTTTTGTATTACATGTTTTCTGAAATGTTATGTTTAAATATACAAATGAGGCACTATCTAATGGTAACTGTTGGTGAGTTTAGGAGAAATCTACATCCTTTTGGATGTTTTCTTTCCACTAGTCTGAAAGAAGACATGTTATGGAAGCTAAATAGCACAAAATCTCAAAAATGTTTGCCTGTAGTGTCTCGTGTTTAACTGTCAAACATGTGATTAGAACATGGAACTTACTTGACAGGTGACTTTTTTAAGCCGCGTCTCCATCAACCACGTGACCTTAGACTTCAGAGAGCACCCTTACCTTCGGTGTCCTGGATGTTCTGGAGGACGTCCTCGGTGTCCACGCGCTCCTCCTGGGAGAACGCGTACGTCTTGATGTTGAAGTCGGCCATCAGGTGGTAGACCCCCTCCAGCGTGAAGTAGCAGTTCCGCTCCGCCTTGTCGTCCTCGTACACCAGCAGCGCACTCCTCCACGTGAAGTGCTCGAACATCGCGGCGAACGTCTCCGCCATCTTCACGTGGGACGGCGCGATGCGGGTCAGGTGAGAGTACTCGCCGTGCTTGTCGCCGAAGCCGGCGGCCAGGGCACCTGCCGAGATCACCGGGATGTCCCAGCGGGACGCCAGCCTCACCACCGCCGCCGCCTCGTACTCGCACACCGGCCCCAGGATCATGTCCGGCTTGCGCGCGCACGACCTGTCCACCAGCCCGAACAGGGCATCGTTTACGCAGTCGGAGTCCTCGAACTGGACGTTGAAGCGGAAGCCCGAGTACCGTCCCCCGTCCGCCCTCAGCCGCCGCTGCGCGTAAAAGATCGCGGGCGCGACCCGCGCGTGCGAGAACGGGTAGGAGTTGTTTTGCGGCAGGAACACCAACACCTCCACGTCCTCGGTGAATGTCACCACCGGGCTCAGGAGCGTGAAAAAGTACACGCACAGTGCGCTGGAATGTGGCATGATGCGACTCTCCCGAGTCCCCCCCCCACCCCCCCCAGACACACTTCACAATAAATTGTTCCTCCAAATGTTTCTTTTCCCCACAAGTTGCCTCCACTGTTTGCGCATGCAGCCGCAGACAGAGCGCCCTCCGCCGTGAGTACCTGGCTCGGGGCTAATAGTGAATAACTGTGTTTGTCTTTTGAGAGACGCGAATCTGCCGGACTGTGTGTGTTTTATTCTGCATTTAGTTTCCTCCGAAAGGGCTCCTAAATATATATATATATATATATATAATTTTTTGTTTTGCCCCCCCCCCCCCTCCTCTTTACAGCTGATCCCGCCGGGCTCGGAGATCCTTTCCAGCTCCGCCAGCAGCCGCCGCACACGCTGCAGGGCTCCAGCCTGGAGTATTTGAACCGTCGTTTTTTTTCAGGATTTTATTCCTGCGTCATCGCGCCCCCGCCCCCTTCTTAAAGCGACAACCCGCCGCACGAGCTCACAATGAGCCGCTTTCACCGCGGGCCCGGCGGAGTTAATGGGGTTAATGGGGAATTGTGTTTCCGTGCGGCCCGAAGCAACAAACAAAATACAAGACTTTTCTTGTGCGTGTTTTTTTTCAGCTATTATTTATTATTTTTATTATATGGCCACCGCAGCCAGGGTCAAAAAGTCACCGTTAAACCTTAGAATAACCATAGTTTAATTAAAAGATGATTGTTTCAAGCTGGCGAGTGTTTGATTCTCTAAAAGGACACAGATTTAGGATGGAGCGCCACCTTCATCCTGAATTCCAACATTGATCTTTTAATTTTAATGTTGACGTTTTGAAACAATTCATGTCGATCTACGGTTTGCTGCGTGCAAACAGCAAATATGAACACAGAGCAAATATAACATTGTCAGATATTGTTGTTTAAATCAATTCACCAACCAGCTTCATGTTTCATGCAAAGGTGAAACACTTCAAATGCTCCACAGCTGCTTTGTGGACTAGCAATACATACAAAGTTGAATATACCAATAAATTCAATACATGCGTATAAAACATAGGTATGATTTTGCTGCACACCAAAAAAGTCACCACTTTCAAACTAGCTGACATTTAATAAAGTATTTTCTGTAAGAGGAAGTGTGAGCAACCTGTTAGGTGTGTGTGGCTCAGTTGTCATTGAGGGGGACAAATCAGGTGTGTGTAACGTGTTTATAATTTCAGTTCATGTTGTCAATAATGTAGAGTGAATACTCAATTCTGATTGGATGCAGGGTGTCCATTATTAGGGATTAATGCACAATGCGCTGGCTACATTAAATGGAAAAATATCTCTATCTTACTTACAACACTGAGTGCAGCCTTAGTCCTTCAGTGAGTTACACTGCCACCACCGGGAGCCTGCCGGTTTCCATTCGTAGTCCGATTAGTATTGACCAATCACGTTTGAGCAGGCTTTGGTTGAATGCAGGTAAATGGTCTGCGTGGTGAGCAAAAAAAGAGGTGGGGCGCATTGGCTTAAAGGGTCGCAGTAAACACGTGGTTAACACTGTGTATTAATACAAAAACATTTGCTTAGGTTCAGGCAACAAAACCACTTAGTCAGGTTTTGGAAAAACGTCATGGTTGGCCTTAAAGTACGTAAAAAAAAGTAAAAGATGAACAATGTAATGTCACCTCAAAATAACTCAACATTTTGGGACTTGAACACCGGTCGCCTGGTGTTTATTTAACTCATCCGCCTCCTTACCACCCTGCATGTTTTGTTTTTTTCCAGTCTTCATATTATGCCTGGTGGGTCACACGACGCTACAGAAGGGTGTCTTGTGCGTCAGTATCAGACGCCAAGGGGCGTATCAAAATATTTGACACCCTGGAAATGAGAACGGGCTGTTTTTATGTCCAATGATGAAGGTGCTTTGGAGAAAGCTTTCTCCAAGCATGGAGCATTTAGCAGCTAATGAGCCAGATATTCTTCTCAGGAGTTGGTGGAGACCAAAAACAGATACAACAAAAGAGCTAAAAGGAGAGTAAATATCGGCCTTCTGCATTTATACGGTGGACACGAATACAACTCCAAATGAACGTCAGTCAGCTAGACGCTGAAATAGGCAAACTGTTTGCTCACAACAACAACTTGTTATGCTGCCCCCAAGTGGCCAGAAAATCCCTTCACGCTGCTTTAAGTCTTTTCAGCGTAGAGCGGATCTAACTTGAACTTTGCAAATTGTTCCCCCGCGGTTTGAATCTACAACAATGCATCGGGTTGTCTTGAGTTTTCGGAGTCTTCAGAGTAAGTAAATGAACATTGTTAGTCTTGTGCCGGCAGTACTCAGCGATGTGTCTCCGCAGCACAGAGGTTCAAACAGTGACTGACCCCTGTGCAGTTCCACAATGACAAAAATAACATTATCCACAGCTCAACCTCCCCCCCTGCCCGAGCAGCAGCACTCGCACTTATCGTGGCTCATTAGCATGTGTCACTAATGACTCACCCACCGAGCCCCGCAGAAGACACATTTTTTTGTTTGCTGGCGAGCCGAGTGGAATTTGCTGACGTGCGTGCCCAATGTTTTCCACCGCTCTCATTACACTTTAAAAATCATTAAAATCATTACATGTAAAAAAGGCGAATCGTTATGCTGCTGCATGCGAAGCGCAGTTCTGTGCTATCTTTACCCCAAGTGTCCAAAATGATTTTGCAAATTGTGGTCATTAAAGCTGAACTCAACACCTTGTCGTGTAACGGCATCTTTCAGCCGCAGGTCTGTGTTTTACATGACTCCGTGCAGACGGGGGCCACTCATTTTGTTTTCTGGTTTTTGGCATAATGACTATGTCGTTTTGATATTTAGTGCAGTGTGCATGAACACTATATGGCCCAAAGTATATCAGCAGCTCGGCAGAGAAATAGCTTTCCCACTTTGGTGTGGAAGAACTAGACAGAGCGCAGACTTCAACCACCATCCGACAACCTTTGGGGTGAACGCCGACCGTGAGCCAGACCTGGTCAGTGTTGGAACTCGTTGATGTCTCTTGTGTCTGGATTGGAGATGATCCCTGCAGCCAGGTTCCAAAATTTTGATGGAAAACCTGGTATACGCAGCACATGGGAATCACATGCTTTAATTGTTATGGTCATCATTTGCTTTGTGTTATACTTTAAGTATCAAAATTAATAATTGAGCTGAAACAAGTTGCCACTTAAGAATCAATTACTTCAATTTTGATAATTGATGACCTTTATGGTCATCGAGCCCAACATTTTTTTCTTGTTACGGCCTCTAATACGTGAGATCCCTGGCAATGCTCCGCAGACATGTCCAGGCGTCCAGCATTAAACTTTCCACCGACACGAGGGGAAATCTTTTTTGTTTTAGGAATGTTAGTGACACCATCCTGGGATGAGCTGCAAACCACTGGAATCTGACTCTCCTCACCTGACACAAGTCTTTCAATGGACGTCATGGAGGAATGAAAATAGGTGCACAGTGTTGTTTGGCCCAATTAGGAGTTTTCTTTTTTTATTATTTCTATGTAGATGTAGCAGAATGTAGAATATTGCAGTGTTATTTACATTGTACGTTCTTTTTTTTTTTAAATAGCATGTAATCATGTGCAGAACTGAGGTAAAATACACAGAGGTTTGGTGGTGGTCGACTTTGAGTGAGAAACGCCTTCATGGATTTCGAAAGACATCGTCAGTGAATGCATTCTGTGTCGAAGCAATGACAGTTGTCCTTTACTTTGTGAACATTAAAAACTGTAACATTTAAAAGCGGGCATGCTGGTTCCACTGCAGGAACAGTAACACACTGAGGTTCAGAAGCTCAGAGTGGTTCCTCACCCATTTGTGTGCCTTTACTGACATCTGGTGGTCATTTCTTACACTTGCACACTGTCATTATAACCATTTTAGAAGCTGTGTGGTGGTCTGCTGTAACATGGCTGATATTGTGTTCAACCTGCTGTTTATTAGAAATATAATGATGTGATGATAGAGTTAAACGCCTCATGTGGAGAAAGTAGTTCCAGAGGATTAACATGTTAGGTGTGTTTAACCAATGTATGACATTCTCTCATAAAATTGCTTGGATTGAGTAGAAATTGAAACATAGATAAAACATTCCTTTTCAATCTATCAATGTGAATGTTAATATTTGCAATCCTATCCATCCACATTCTCCAAGTCTTTGTAAGTAGAGAAACAGAGTTAAAGGTTTGAAATGTTGGTGAGGACATTCAATCGTTTGTAAGACAGTTACATTTCCGAAGCGGAGAGTTCAAAAATGTTCAAGTTAGCATGAATGGTATAACCACAACCTGCCATGGATAGTTTCACATACTGACTTTATTTTAAAAAAAAAGTTTTCTTTAGTGTTCCAAAGTGAATCTATTGTAAACAAACTGCACCTCCCATCTGAAGTAAATCATGATTCAGCAATGTCCACCACAATAGCTGGTGGTCCATCCAATGTGGCCTATTTCTACGTACAAACACATGTAACGAGACAAAACACAAAAAGTCAAATGAAGTCCATCAGAAAAGCTGGAAAAAGCTACAGCTCGTCCACAGCCTGTATCAGAGGGCTGTTTCACATTGGTCCGTCTCGGGAGCTTCCTGCTTCCTTGTTCATTACAGTCAGGTTCCTCGGCTTGCGGATGAGGAGGTGGTTGGGCCCTTCGTCAGTGGCTTTGATGACTTTCCAGGCATCGTGGTGCATGAGGCCCTCCAGAGAACAGCCGTTGATGGACAGAACTTCATCGGCAACTTTGATTAACCCGGACAGCTCTGCGGCGCCTCCTGTTGTAGAAGTACAGCGACTCAAGTCAAAGATGCGCCGCCTGATTCCTCTCAGCTCGAAGTAGAAGTCTGATCACGCACACACCCAAGACTAAATAACAAATCATTTTACCAGTACTACCTGTGCCATGACACTATAATCACATGTGTTTAATGATGACTAAATGAAATGAGTATTGAGCTTTAACATGGACTTTTCTGAGAGACTTATAGAAAACCGGGTCACCTTTAAAGATGCGTTTCACAATGAGAGGCTTGTCTCCGTGGGACGAGGACTTCCCCCCTTCCAGACTGAAACCCAGGCCGGCAGAGGACTTGTGGAGCTCCACCGTTAAAGCACCGTCTGGACCCACATCCACCACTGGAAGGTAAATAATTAAGGTTGATGAGGTTAAACATAATATGGAAACAGTGAAGGAGGGGAGGAACTACTTTACCCTCATGGAGACGTGTGTCACAGAAGCCTTACCTGCTCCAACGCCCGAAGACTTCTTCCTGGCGGAACACGTCCTCTTTGGCCGGCCGGCCGAGTCATGTGTGTCAGAGGGGCCCATTCCACTGTCCTCGTCCCTCCAGATGACTACTAAGGATTGACTGGACAGCCTGGCTTGATGGAGGCAGGAGACCACCTCTCCGTGGGTTTTCCCCCCCAGACTGCTGCCGTTTATGGATAAAATGCAGTCCCCTCTCTGGATTGTGCCCTCGAGGCTCGCTGTCCCTTTGGTGAAGACCCGATGGACCTGAACACAAAGTTAAAGATTATAGTATTAATATAATAATAATAATAATAATCTCTATTTGTATAGCACTTTTCATACAAGAAATGCAGCACAAATTAATTTATAATAATATAATATATATAATATAAAGGACGATAGACAGAATTAACATAAATGGTTGTATGCCTCCACCAACCAGCCATGTTGCAGTTTACATCCATGTCTGTCCAAAATGTCATCACTTCATCATCTTATGCTATTAGAAATTTGTGTGAAACTTTCATAATCAACATGTGAATTTTTGAGTTATAGGTTACAGTGACCGTATATTAAATATATAAGGGATTTACAGATTTATCGAGAGTGAAGGGAGTAACAGTCAGTTTAAGTAAAACGCATTTTTATTGAGCAGCACAAACATTTTTGCATTCAAAATGACTGAATGTCTTTTTAAGACAAACAGGAATAAAGGTAACTGAGATGAATACAATGAAGTTCTGACTTAGTGGCCATATGACACGGAACAGTGCAAAGTACTTTGTTTTAATGGTACGGAACCAGAGAAAGACCAAGAGAACGAATAGCATATTAACAAAATTAGAATTTCTATATAAACAACAAAATATTGTGAATCAGCATGTGTACAAAGAGGGGCATTCCACAACTACCACATCAACCAATGAAATTATGATTCATGTGCAGCGCTCTGATGTATTTGTGATCAGAGGATGTGTGCTGCTTCATTGATTACTTTAGATCTTAAGAGGTGTCCCTTCGCTAAGCCCCGCCCCTCGAACGCAGCTTAGACAATGATAGCGTAGCATCGGCATGCTCTGATCAGACAACTCCGTTCCGCTCCAGACTCTCATGCAGTCGTTTCAGATTTTCTTCCTTTTCAGGCTGGTTGTGTGGATTTGGAGCTGGTCGTGGTTAAACCTTGTGTAATAGTGATACTCGTTAGCCGAAGAGGTTGGAAGGAGATATACGTTTCTAAAACGTTACGTTTCTACATAAAAATCAGTGTAGTTAATATTAGCACAGTACGTTAGCATATCATTAACTAGCGTAAGCTACCTGGCTTTAAAGGAACACTGTTGTTCTTTAATTAAATGGTTTTCTGACTTGATCACCAGGTTTAACTAGTTTTCACGGCTGAATCAGTTTGACATCCTGATATATCCTTCAAATGCATATTGTAGATCCTTCTGTCCACTTCTCTCTAAAATCGCTTTGTTGTTATCCCAAAGATGTATAATATTTATTCAGGGAGTGCACTTAGTGACAGTGTGGGCTCCATGGTAACACGGAGTAGCAGTGGAAGGCGGGATTTACGGATGGGTCAAATACGTTCTGTTTTTCGGCTCGGTGTTTGTCGTATTGTTGTATGGATGTCATGTGTTTTGTCATTGAAATATTGTAAATACATCATGTGGACCCCAGGAAGAGTAACTGCTGTGCTGTTACAGTATCTAACGGGGCTCAAAACAAATTAACACACCTCATCAGGATCTTTTATTCAAGACAAACCTGAGCACAGCAGAGACAGAAAGACTCCTCCTACAGTATGAGAACATTCCCGACTTTTTTACCCCCCAGTGGTAGTATCAAAAGAGACGATGGCAGCTTGTACTGCATTGGAGCACACTGTACTTACAGTTATTGCCTTCTGCTCAAGGTCGACTCCACCAGCAACACTAAAGCCAAGCCCCGAGCCTTCCTCTTTGCTCAGGACCACGAGGTGAGTATTACCGTTGACCTGCAGGGAGTTCAGACGCAGAGTCAATGTGACAAAAAAATGTATACAGAAAGTAGGATTGACACAGTCTAGTCTACGAAATGTGTAAGTTCTAAAAGTATAGCGTCACCTCTGAGAGGGCCTCGGCCTCCTGAAGCAGGGCCGACACGTACGACTGAAGCATCGGGGAGGAGAGCAGGGTTTGCAGCTTACGCTGACTGACGGGAGAAGAAGCCAGCTCCTTTAAACTGCAGACAAAAGGAGCCAACATCAAACACAATTTTAATAGCAAGAAACACAAGAAAATAAATGTTCAATCTCTAGTTTTATTGCACAAAATGTCCTCAGGTTTGGCTAATATTGGCCAATTTACCATTATTTCTACAACAGTATATTCCTTACAAATGCTAATCATGAGATCAATCAGTGTTGTCTATATTATTATGGCCCTTGGTCTGTGTTATACATCTGTGTATATTCAACCTCTTCTTTGGATACATGAACATTCATTTTTACTCTGTAAAGTATTATGTACTTTATTGTATATATGAAATCGACGTGTACTTGAACTGTAACTTTGATGCCTTATTGGCCATGTCACCATTGTGAAAGAGATTTCTTATCTCAGTTGGTTTCATCTGGTTAAATAAAATAAATCAAATGATTGAACTCCCCCACCTGATTGCCCAGCCAGGCTGTTGTCCGTGGGGTTCTGGGGTTCCCCGAGGAGTCTCTTCAGTGGATCCAACATCACCTCCGCTGTCCCTGTTCACATCAGCTTTTGTCAGGGTTGCAGAAGGTGGAAAGCTCTTAGTCGCTGTAGCTTTCTCGAGTATGGCGGCATGGCTGCCAGGCTCAGTTGTATCCGCGGTCGTACCATGGTCTCTGGTAAAGTCCTCGGTGCATAGTTTTTCCAATTCAGGCATGCTGAGAGCCCTGAGCTGCCGCAACCTGCTGCGGGCAAGTTTGTCGTGTTTCTTGCACAGCACCTGAGGGGTCTGTGGTGCCGTCCAATCTGGAGCTTTGAGACCATGAGACCCGGGACCGCCTTCCATCGGGGGAGCTGCATTGTAGCTCGAACGTGGGAGCTCAAGGTTGATCAGTGTAATGCTGGATGGAGATTTACTGACGAGAGGTGAGCAGGGCACGGTGGGGATCAGATTCTCCATATAAGAACTAAAACTCCTTTGCCGTGCCCGGCAGTCGATAGAATTGACCAAGCCCATGTAACCGGCGATCCTTTGGTTAAGCGAGGCTCTATACGCCAGAGCGTAAGACTGAATGTCACTGCTTTTAGCCACCGGCTTGTCAAAGTTAGCCAGGTTTTCAAAGGACTTTATCTTGTGTCGGACAGAGAAAGGATTGTAGCCTGCTGACAAGGAGGTATCTATGGTGAGGCTTCGCCTTTCCATCGTCTTTATGTACAGTCTGGACGTGCTGGACTTTAGGGTCTCACTTGTCTCTACAATAGTGCTGGGTTTTGAGCCATTACTTGTGGTTGAATCAGTTTCTTTAGCAGAACCCAGAGAATTAAACACTGTGTTACTGACCGTGACGTTTGTTTTTTCTACCGTGGAGTTGGCAGGAGACAGTATGGGGGCTAATCCTGAATCTGTGCCTCTTTGAGTGGGTTTAGATTCTTCTGAATTCACGGTTTCTTTGTGTGCCATAACTGGTGGTGAAGAACCAGAAAAGGAAGACAGTCTAACTTCTATAAATGTTCTCTGAGTGGCAGTGGTGTGGGATTGGCTCTGTGATTTGGCTGGCGCTTTGGAGCTTAAATGGATCTCTTTGGCCAGTTGCACTGTTTGTGATGTGCTACCTGAAGGCCCGTGCTCAGCTGTAGCTTGCAGTCTGTCACTTACTTTGGGCCAATCAAGGCATTGGGTATTGGTCTTCAAAGAGCTGGACGTGGTTGCCGTTGATGTGGATTTTGGTGACTGGTTCAAGGAAGCCTTGGTGTTTAAGGATACTGGACTTTCCCTACCGGTCAGCTCCTCCTTTGGTTTGTTTTTACTCTTAATACTAAGGCCCTTCAATTTGGGAGCATTAGTGTTTGGTCTGATTTGAGATTCAATCTGGAGTTTGAAGTTACTACTCCACATGGGACAGTCTATACTATCAAGAAGTTTTAGTCCAGAGTTCTTCTTAAGCACGGAGATAGCATGGGGGTTTAAATTAGTTCTATACTCCAAGGCTTTTTCTTTGCTCGTCATTGACGCTGACACTCTCGTATCCGATCGGCCGATGCTTGAACCTGCGGTCTCTGACTCCATTGAAGGTAAATGGGGAGTTTGTGTATTCAAGTGCTTCAATAATGCTGAGGTCAGCGAGGCATCTGCATGCAAATTTGTAGTGGTAGTACCCTTAGTGGCACTGTGTGTATCTGGTGGATAGGGGCTGCTGCAAGTGCTTTGGGGACTGGATGTCACACATGCTTTAACTTTGTCAGAGGGTTCGATGGCTCTATCAGTGTGGCACTGTAAAGAATTCCCAGGTATTGTACTGTTGGAAGATTGGCATGGCTGCACTGGAGAGGAGACCCCTAATAAATGAGATAGCTGCAAGTGTTGGGTTGTTGTAACAGAGTCTTCATTGTTTGTCAGTAAGACATCAGCAGAGCACTGCGAGGTCTGGTCAAGGTTTGTGTTTTGACTGCTGGCATGCTGAAAAGATGGGGACTCATTCGGTGACTGGCTTAAATGAGAGATTTCACCAGCAGCAGGTTGCTTGGCATCACACAAACAGAACTCCACCTCCTCCTCATCTGACGGCTCATGAAAACTACCACCACTGCCGGCCATCGTATTGACCATTACTCTGCTGTCAGTGGAGGAGTTACTGTTTGAATCACTGTCATCTCCTATGGGGTACATAGATTTAGAACCAGCATCAGGCCTTTGGGGATGTGATCCATTGAAAACAGCAGAGCTGTTTGTCTCCATAGTGGGCATGGCACCTTTTTCATTTCCTGCATCCGAGATGAAACAGTCCAGGGGATCGGACTGTATTGAAACCTGAAGGCAAGCTTTCTCACACTGGGTTACTCTATGCTGGCTTGAATGGCAGGATACAGGCTCATTAGACAATGTTTTGTAGGGGGATTTATTGTGTGTATTTGTAACACTGCAGAGGCTTACTTCTGATAAAATATCATCTATATTGGTGATGGGTAATTGAAAGTCTGTTTGGGTTGTGTGGTTGAAATTTCTCGAATTTGCACCTATTACTTGTCCTTCATCAGATGTGCCCTGAACAGATCTGGGTGGGTTCAGTGTAGTGGCTCCGTCACTGCTCCCTGATGACATTATCAAACTGGACAGTCGATCTACAGCTGGGACCAAAAATAAAAGGTAAGCTGTTTAGTTAGGACTGAATGAGAAGCGCTGAGTTCATCATTTGAAGTAACGAAGGTTAGGATTTTGTAACCCTAGTTCTATCAGCACAGGTAGAGCCCTCTACCAGACTCTATGGGTAATACTCTACTCCAATCACAAAGAAGCATTTGTCTACTCTAAATTTGCATACGTGTAACTGGTTAATCAGGACATGCCTATTCGAATATGTGCGGACCCCCCAGTACATCAGGCTGACTGGCTACGGGTTATTTGCCGCAGCCCACCTACTTCTTTATAACCCAGGCTGCAACAGCAGAGAAGTAGGGGGCCAGAGTCAACCCAGGTAGTCCGCAAATGAAGTGAGGCATGGCCGAAGCGTACAGGGGTCATAATACAAGCAGTACACACCTTGCACATACCACTCCCTGGTCCATCAGAAAGGAGCGTATCTGTCTCATGCCAGTGGGCAAATCGCCGTTCGCTGAAGAGAAAAAGGATGGCACACAGCGTTGTGTGCTGCTTTATATACCGTGGGGTTCACATATTCGGTGAGGCATGTGCTGATTGGCCAGTTTATGCCCAGTGGGGGAGAATATTACTCACAGAGTCCAGTAGAGGGCGGAGCCTGTGCGAATTAGAATATATGAAGGTTTTGTCAAAATGGTAAATGGAAAAGCGCTATACACTTGGCCTCTCATTCACCCTTTCACACACACAGCCGGGCTACAAAAAGACACACTCCCTAAAAACTAACAATGTTCTTTTATCTTGCAACACAGTGAGGTTAAATAATGAAATAAAATAACTTAAGAAGAATGTCCAGGCTGATGGTTTTTTCCATCTGGATGTCTTCTGGTGTTGTGTGGGAGCAAGTCTTTCACTGCAATATGCAGAGCATTTAGAATCCCCAAAACACTCTTTTTTTCTATACTAGTTACATAGTTGTGTTTCAACTCCAGGTTAGTCAGGAAAAATGTATTTTAATTTGAACTTCATTATGATGAATCAGTTCACCAAAGTCTCGGAACAGGTCATAAGGTCTGTGAGGTACCTTGATAATAAAGAGGCAAACTTAAAACGTCTGAAACGGAAGCAGCAGAAGGGTCAGAGAGAGGCCTGATTTCAATTTTTTTAAATTCTAAACAGATTAATATTTCTGAAAAAGAAAAATAACAAAATTCACCGGTAGAAATACCTCAAGTAGAATGACAGCTTTGGCATAACAGATTTCTTTCCTTAGAATCTGAGACTTATTATAACAAAGAAAAGTTATTGAAATTATTATGTAATTGAAATTGTCATTCTAAACAATACCTGATGGGTCATTCAACTATCCAATTGCAGGCCTGCAAGCATATTGTAGAACACAGACACTACATACTCCACATTGCATCAGAGGCGTTAGATTATGTCAGCAAAGACTAAAAGTCATTGTGTGAATGTCTATGGTTGGGTAGACAGAAATGTATTAATTGATTAATTCAGAAAATGTAGGTACTAGACATGTTCAGATACCATTTTTTCATTGCTTATACCGATTCCGATGCAGAGTACCGATCCAATAACAGTATATATACATATAAATATACACAGACATATATACATTTGAACCAATGTATACTACTAAACCTGTATGGCTGAATGAATGAATGCCATAGAACTTTCTTGTATAATCTAGAATATTGCCAGATTGTTGACACTCTGCTAACATTACACTCTCAGCCAGCATCTGCCCGATCGGTACTGCGCACGATCATCATCATGGATTTGTGACGCAGCTGTAGTTTTTTCTGAGACTGATGATGGAAGTAGCTAACGAGTGAGTCATCTCGTTTCTTTCTCATCTCTGTTGAGAGTTGCACATGTGCAGTACCGATCGGGGAGGAATTATGCATCGAGTAGTGTTCTCATGGCGCATAGATGAGTTGATAAATGTTACAGAACGTGATATTGGATCGGTGCCCTATCCAGCATTTTAGACTCTATCGGAGGCATTTCCCATTCTGGTCTCGGTATCAGAACAACTTTAGAGACATTGCTGTGGTTGTTGCAGGGTGTCACATGAGCATTTATTCTGTTGCCGTCTCTTATATAACAGATCAAGATTGGGGAAGATGTAAAGAGGACTAAAGGAATCATCTGTTCACCACCTAGAGAATTAAACATTTACAGATGTCCTAAACTTGAAAAATTAAAGTCAGGGGATTGATTTTTGTTTCTTTTATCAAATAAATCGGTAATTGAATCCCTAATACATTGAATGCAACCCTTCAACGGCAATCCGATGTCCGAATCCAAAAATATACAAAAGGATTGTGATCTAATAAAAAGCACCCCCCCCCTCTGAAGTAATTTGGTAATAAAACTCTTTTGGTGACCAAGAAACAGTGATCCACAGCAATGTCTATGCTACACTAAACTAAGATTAACACTACTGTACTATACAAGTCTCATTTGTCAATTCAGGCATTCAGGGAGTTAGGCTACAGGGTAAATATAGCACTGCTACTAAAAGGTCAAATATACTGTATTAGATAGTCACCATGGATAGAAAGCCAGATGCTTGCAGGTTGCTTTGGGGAAGTAAGTGAGGGAGGGTTGATCCTACAGCTTAAGTCGGCATAAAAGGGACAGAAATGGTGCTCTATTTAAAGGCAAACTGAGAGGCATTCTGGTACTACTGCTTGTAAACACTAATTTGAAGAAGCGTAATACACATATAATACATATATAATATACACCACCACATCAGGTGAGCGAAAGAGTAAGAAAAGATTGAAATTAAAATCTATCTTTTAGCTAGAACGCTTGGATTTAAGGGTCGATCCCACTTTCATTGATAAAGTCATGAGTTTAAAGGCTGAGCAGATGCCAAAACAATGCACAGGGGTTAACATTACTATGTGGTAAGATTTTACAAAGACATCACAGTTTCTTTACTCAAAAAGATCGCAAAGTTAACAGTAGAATTGTACTAGAATATGGCCGATGTCATAAAAGATCCTAAAGAGAAATTCCGGTATATTTCAACCTGGTGGACGAGCTGAATGAGCCTCCTACATCTTTTCAAATATACACAATTTTTACGGGAAATATTTCAAACGCTTGTCTTTGAGTCCGACTGAAAGCAGCACTACGGTGAACTCCACAGGGATCAGCATCCGGGTTAATGTAGATCCTTATGCAGTTATCCCACGTGGTTATTCTGAGATGCTACTTCCTGTGTTTACTTTCTCTCGGACTAAGAGACGAGCGTTGATGATTCATGTAAAATCATGGGTTGTTGTTTTTTTGGAAAGTTCTAATTTCCCAGAATCTCGCCGGATTCACTCTCATCGGGAAATACGCCGGGTTGAATTATTCCAGAATCTTATAGTTATGTTTGGTGTGTGCGGTCACTACTGATTGGCTGAAGAAGTACATTCCTGGACAACATCACATTGCCAAACTTAAGCCAGATTCAACAGATTGAACATTTTTTGATGGACTTTCCCACGTTTCTTACCTCTGTCTCTGCATCAGCAACCCTGATACTTAAAAAAACTAAATGTGGAGTCCTGAGATGAAAGCACAACAGTAGCACACTGACGCTGGATGACCTATAATCTCCAGAAAAAAGTGATCCTAAAAACGAGGTCTTACCTGAAACCGGTCTCTTAATTTCCAAGGCCAGTGTAATGGGAAGGCTGTGCATGAGCTCACAGATTTCCTGGTAAGTAGAGGAGCGCACCGACGTTTCCCCAATTTTGACAATCTCATCTCCAGGACACAGGTTTCCCGTTGTTTCCTGGGTGCACGATTAAGCAAAAGAGATCAAACTCAGCTTGTGACTGAGCGACAGAACCACCAGCGCTCTGGCAAAAAAAAATACGATTATATGTCAAATTATTTGGAATAATCTTGAAATAATTCAAACAGCGAAGTTTTGGCGTAAAGCCGGCAGTATCCATTCACTAATATTGGAGCGGTATGAAGATTAGACCAGTCACACTTACCCTTTCTGCTGCACCTCCAGGCTTTAGCCCAACGACGACGACTTTCAGAGGGGATGACATGATCTCCAGGTCGAGGCCGAACGACTCGTCCTCGCTTCTCCACAGCGTCACGGCGTCGACGGTGCAGACACCCACAAGCTCACTGGCATCTCCCTTTTTGCAGAGCTGATGGGGTACCGAGCCACCGGCGATCTTGGGGTTTCTTCCACACTGGGTGGCTTGGGAAGGGGGCTGGGACGGGCCCAAGACTGGAGAGGGTTCATCCGCTTTGGACTTCTGCTGCTGGGGCAGGTTTGGCGCTTCGATGCTCATCATACTTTTGACCCGCGTCACTGCTTTATGCTCGAGCTTGGGCGAGCGCTTCGACTCCAACTGTCCATCCTCTGGATTTGTGTAGTTATCACTATTGATGGCCAAATTGCTGGGCCCGGAGCCCAAACCGCTTGCCCCCCCTGCTTTGCGGATGGCCATGAGGGGCGACTCGGAAGCCGGTGACTCTGACTTATTGGCAATACCTTCCTCACACTGTGAGAAACTACCACAGAGTGGTGCTTTCCCATCATGGCTTCCGCACCTCTGCAAATCCCCGTCTTCACTGTTTCCATTTATATCCAACGACGATGTAGCACTCACAACTGCTGAATCACATTTGGGAATTTCGGATGCTTGGGCACCGCTGAAGTTAACAGAGTCCGGTTTTGTTGGCCTGCGGAGGAGCCCGGTGTTCCTGGCGTGGTCGTCCTCCTCGTCGCTGAGCTCGTCCTCAAAGCACATCAGCCGTCGCTGGCGGAGAAGCGGGCTTCGCACGGAGGCGGGGCTAGAGACAGCGACGGGCTGGCAGACTGCCTCCATGCGGGGATTTGGGGGAACGGGGGTCTTGTCTTGTGAAGCGTTGAGCACGGGGCCACTCTCCACTTCTGTTAGAGAAGGGGTGAATGCTGAGAATAAGTCATTTTCATTGCCAAATAAAAACAGACAAAGATGAAGATCTGGTGATGGTGTCACAATGCATTAAACCTTTTTTTTACACTATGGGCCGTCTCCCGGATGGGGTTTGAATTAAACCAAGAGTCGGCCTTAATCTAGAGCAGCTAATCCTGCCTCAAAATTGGCTTTCTGAAACAGTCAATTTTGAGCTGCCCCATTAAAAAATTTGACAATCGTGACCGAAACATGGTGAAATATTTGGTCATCGATCACTGGCGCTGTGAGACGCGTCCACTGACGACCGATTCAGAGCTTTGGAGTCAAAAACCAAGTCTGCGAGACAATTCTGTTAAAAAGGACTATATTTAAATGCATTGTGACATATGGAAAAAATAACATGTTCTGAAAAAAGTGTGCATTCACTGTTGAAAAATATCCCCATCAATTTTGAGTCTTTAAGTAAAATTGTACACATGCTATCAATGTTTAGAGGCAAGTAAACTGATCAGACTTGAGTCACAACACAATGTCATTTAAAAAAAAAAAGTTCAATGTTGCTAAACGAATGCTAACGTTGGTCAGTAGCTCCGGGTGTCCAGCAATAGTCACCACAGTGAGAAAAAAAACGCAGATGACATCGAGGGATTTTGGCTCAGAGTTGAATGTTTTTCAACTGGAGGCGTTCCGGGCACTCCTGTAAAAACACGAGGCGCATACAGCGTACGTTCAACTACGCAAAAGCCCAAAATGCTTCCTTCTGATTGAAAACAATTACAAAAAGCTGCTAAAACATCCTCTGTCTGTTGTAGAGCCTCAGTATAAATCCATGTCATCGTTCTACCCCATCAACCATTTTTGTGTCGTTTTCATAACTAGCATATGAGTTATTGAGTTATGGCCAAAAAAGTGTTTTGTGAGGACACAGTGACCTTTGACCACCACATTCTAATCAGTTCAACTTTGAGTTAAAGTGGATGTTTGCGCCAAATTTGATGAAATTTGCTCAAGGAGTTCCCGAGAGAACGCACCGTTTGGACGGACGGAAAAAAATAAAGCCTCCGGCCATGCCTCCATGTCGCCGTCATGGAGGCATAAAAAATGAATCATGAAAAGATGGCGTTTACATTTCATGAGCTAAAGTTAAAAAATCGTGATGAAATAAAAATACTTTTGGTGACGATGGATGTGAGACAAAATAGAAAATGACAAAATCCTCAGTCAGTACCATCTTAGGTACAAATACAGTTGTGTGAAAAAGTGTTTGCCCCCTTCCTGATTTCTTATTTTTTTTGTCACACTTAAATGTTTCAGATCATCAAACAAATTTAAATATTAGACAAAGATAACACAAGTAAACACAAAATGCAGTTTTTAAATGAAGGTTTTTATTGTTAAGGGGGGAAAAAAAATCCAAACCTACATGGCCCTGTGTGAAAAAGTGAAAAAGTGATTGCCCCCTCCCCCCCCTGTTAAAACATAAATTAACTGTGGTTTATCAAAGTAATTGAGATCTATCAGTCTGGAAAAGGTTACAAAGCCATTTCTAAAGCTTTGGGACTCCAGCGAACCACAGTGAGAGCCATTATCCACAAATGGCGAAAACATGGAACAGTGGTGAACCTTGCCAGGAGTGGCCGGCCGACCAAAATTACCCCAAGAGTGCAGCGACGACTCATCCAAGAGGTCACAAAAGACCCCAGAACAACATCCAAAGAACTGCAGGCCTCACTTGCCTCAATTAAGGTCAGTGTTCATGACTCCACCATAAGAAAGAGACTGGGCAAAAATGGCCTGCATGGCAGAGTTCCAAGACGAAAACCACTGCTGAGCAAATAGAACATAAAGGCTCGTCTCAGTTTTGCCAGAAAACATCTTGATGATCCCCAAGACTTTTGGGAAAATACTCTGTGGACTGACGAGACAAAAGTTGAACTTTTGGAAGGTGTATGTCCCATTACATCTGGCGTAAAAGTAACACGGCATTTCAAAAAAGGAACATCATACCAACAGTAAAATATGGTGGTGGTAGTGTGATGGTCTGGGGCTGTTTTGCTGCTTCAGGACCTGGAAGACTTGCTGTGGTAAATGGAACCATGAATTCTGCCGTCTACCAAAAAATCCTGAAGGAGAATGTCCGGCCATCTGTTCGTGACCTCAAGCTGAAGCGCACTTGGGTTCTGCAGCAGGACAATGATCCAAAACACACCAGCAAGTCCACCTCTGAATGGCTTAAGAAAAACAAAATGAAGACTTTGGAGTGGCCTAGTCAAAGTCTCGACCTGAATCCGATTGAGATGCTGTGGCATGACCTTAAAAAGGCGGTTCATGCTCGAAAACCCTCCAATGTGGCTGAATTTCAACAATTCTGCAAAGATGAGTGGGCCAAAATTCCTCTACAGCGATGTAAAAGACTCATGCATTTTGTGTTTACTTGTGTTATCTTTGTCTAATATTTAAATTTGTTTGATGATCTGCAACATTTAAGTGTGACAAACATGCAAAAAAATAAGAAATCAGGAAGGGGGCAAACACTTTTTCACACAACTGTATACTCTGCTGCATGGTACAAAATATTGTCATCTGGACACATTCGGGTCTTCCTCGGAATTCCTTATTAACAAAAGACACAAACTGATTATCATAATGATGCATGGGCTGCATGGGTTCATACAAAACAGGCTAAATCCAAACCTGACAATGACATTTTCTGTTAATCTGATTACAAAGTCACTTTACTGTAGAGAGGTTTAACCCGAAAAAACCTCTCCATGGTATTTAAAATGGGTGAAGTGTTTTTTTACCAAGTGGCCGTGATGAGTTGTCATCCATGGAAGTGCTGCAGCTCCGCTGGTGGAGCGCCTCATCGCTATTGGAGCCCATCAGCACGGACTCGGAGGAGAAGGAGTGGCCGGAAACGTCCTGGGAGAAGTACTGAGACAACTCTGTCTCTGAGCTCAGAGACCCCTGCTACGCCAAAATGAAAGAAGAACAAATCAAGGGAAGGAAGATGAAAACAGAGCGAGCTCAATACTCGCACCACACTACCTGTGTCTACGAACTAAGAAATAAGACATGCATGTCGAGTGCAAACGTACTCTACTGGCCGGCTCAAGGAATCTCTTCATGGTCCAGCTGAGAGAAGGGGAGCCGTCTCCCTGCCTGTCCTTCAGCGTTGGGTAGGGGCTCTTACAGGACACACCTACACATCATACAACCGGGACAGTTAGCATCTGAGCCAGGCTGTTGCTAACTGCCTTTAGCACTTAGTTCAACTGCGGTGCTGGTATTGTAACACCTGTAAAATGACAGGAGAGCAGGAGTACATGGAAGACAAACGTAAAGATATCGGACCTTGGGGGTGAGACGAAGGTCTGTTTTTGCTCATTTTGTCGCGGTGTGTGGATCGAGCTATGATTTGATCCATCTCCTGTTCCGATACCTGAGAAAAGACAATGAGATGCAAGAGTTCTATCAAGACTAGAACAACACTATGCTGGCAACTACTAGAAATGAACACAACAGTAATGAAGGCATCATATGGAATGTTAAATAAAAATGTACATAATGAAAGGTATAAAAAGTAAAAAGGGCATAAAATGAAAGCATGCCTTCATATGTATGAGTACCAATATTCCAACTAACAAACGTAAACTAAATATGATTGTACCACCACCCCCACTATGAAGCATGGATGGCAGCTTCCTGCTGTGAGGCTGGTTCTCAGTAGCAGGAGCTGGAAGGCTTGTGAAGATCAACGGTCAAACAAGCATCAACCTCCGGGTCTGAGAATGAAGCCTATCAGGAAGTGTCTTAATCTTGTATTCTCTCTAGTGTCCACCAGGGGGCGACTCTATGAGAAAATGACTCTACTTCTCTCTTGATTTATTACCTCAGTAAACATTGTAAACATGAGTTTATGGTCTCAATCTCTAGTTTCAAGTCTTCTTCAATACAGCATGATGTTCATTTAGTAAATTATCTTGTTATTGACTGTTGACCTCTACAAACAAACCTGTTAGCAAACCAAAACTAGCATCCAAACTAATATAGTTAACATGAATGACGGATGCACCTTGCTCACAAAGCTACCTGGTAATGGCAGCTAGCTTATCACAAAAAACTGCATCACGGTTTGCATTTTGACAGTCCTACAGCAAGTTAATGGGAATGATCTACCCTTTACTCTTTCTTTGGCATGCTCCAAGTAGCCTGTGGGACACTTCCTGGTGTGTTTTTGAATAGAAAAAGAGTTCAAGCTGTTGAATATCTTAAAAGAGATCTATATAAATAGAGACACTCATCCTCTTACCTTGGGGTTAGGGTGCCTGCTGATAATGAGACTGACAGGTCCAGGGCCACATTCACTGAGGATGGCATAGGCCTCGCTGAGAGCGGCATGACGGAGACTGACCGAGTCCACCTCCAGTATCTGATCCCCACGACTACACGGAGGAGCACAGGCATCGGCAAAACACCGTCAAAGACCTCTTTGTACATACCCGAATGGAAATGAAATGTACCCACGTACAATCACATGGAAACATTATATGCACAACAAATTATGGATGAATATATCTTCTATGGAAGCCCTGAGAGGCAACTGATAAAAACAAATTCTGGTGTTACATTTTCCAAGTCTGATCTAAATAGTTTTCTCTCCTGTGTTTATGACTTGAGAACATGTGGAATTTTCCTTAGAAGTTCCTTAAATATGTATTTTCATCATTCTTAAAGGGACAATTCATCCTCAAATCAAAAATACATATGTGTCCTCTTACCTGTAGTACAGTACAGTGAGCTGCCTAGTGTTGTAGATATCGTCCTGAGAGATGTCTGCCCTCTCTTGTAATGTAATCTAAAAAGCTATGTGCAAAAAGAAAATAGTTCCTCCATGAACCTTCTCACAACAAGGTCTTTGGACTATCCAGAGTAAGCTTGAGAAGTATTAACAATTTCTGGAAAGAGACATTGCTGTTGAGGTTTTCAAATGTATTTTTTTGGTGCTTTTAGCACCGCAACCCAATTGCCATCTAGTTCCATTATATTGGAGAGAAGGCAGACATCTCTAAGGCCGATATCTCCAAAACAAGGCACCTCTCACCAAAACAATGTCAATTGATAAATGGCACGACAGGTAGGAAACAAATATAGTTTTTTGTCACTTTTGGGGTGAATTGTCCCTTTAAGTAATACACCACAGGTGAGAAAACAATTTAGATGAAACTTAGAACACGGAACACCAGTCCAATTTTTTGCATCTCGCGGCTTCCGTACTTTTCAACCAACGAGCTAATATTAAAGTATGTATTTCAGTTTCCAGTTCAAAGATGACCCTGGAGTTTTATTTTTGTACCTAAGCCTGCTGTCCATCTTGGCCACAGATCCCAGTGCCAGGCTATGGATGTAGATGCCAGGAGCAGCGTTCTCCAGGGTCAGACAGCAAACTCCAATCCCGAGACCAACACTGGGCTCTAAAAAAAAACAAGAAAAAACATCCATTAACAGAACAGAAGGTTTTGCAAAACCGCCTTGTAAAGTATGACTGCTAGCCCAAAAATATAATTCGTACAGGCACAAAGCAGTCGAGGATATACTGTACAAAAGTATGAGGACATACGGTCCCGTTACTTTTGTATAATTCTGGTCCAGGTCCATGTTTCATGGTTTGAGCTCATTGGTTCCAATGAAGGGAAATCTTAATGCTACAATGATATTCGACACAAATAATGTCCTTGCTACTTTTTGCCAACAGCTTATGTTTGTCCCTTCTCTGTTTCAATTAAATAAAGAATGATTTCCCAGTTTGGTGTGGGAGAACTTGACTGAACCCCATTCAACACCTTTGGGTTGAGCTGAATGGAACAAAAAGAAGTATAAATATTAGAGGTGTAAGAAAATATAGATACACTTGAGTGTTGCAATGTTACGTTTTGTGTTACTGCATCAACTCTCAAAAAACACTATGGATTTTTAATTGATAGTTCACATGCAAAAGATCACACAAAAAGTAGTGTCATGATGTTGTATGTTACAGGGACAGGGATAAATCAAATGCAGAGCCAGCTGTTCGGATTGCATAAAAATGTTTTACAAAATGTCAGATTCTGTGCGTATGGTCATTCCCAAAGACTGAGTCAGGACCCACAGGTGGGCTGCAGGACAGTTTATTTGGGCTGCCAAATAAATCAGCAGAATTTCTCCCATAGTCTTTCAATTAAAATGTACGTCTGCAGTTCCCCTTTGAGCCACATGAGGGAGCCTGAGTGTTAGTATTGTTTGAGCCTACTTATAACAGGGACTCTAATAAACTTTCTTTTTGTTCTATTGATGAGCCCGTTAACTCCTCCTACATGCATGTATTGGGTCGCATTTATCAAGCATTTAACACATCAATAACATGCATTAAACAAAGTTGTTATTTATCAAACATAGGTATTTTCTAAATGGCTGGTTTACCTATAACGGTCAGGAACATTCATTTACGCACAAATTATAGTTAAGACCTATTGTGAATTGGGTCATGATGGTCTGTCGTTTTGAATAAGTGGGTCCCCGGAAAAAAAAAGTTTGGGAAACACTGCTTAATACAATGACAGTTTTCATAAATTAAAATAAAAAAAAAAAAAATCACAATATATCGCCATATATGGAATCGTAACCCCTGAATCATGATATTTAATGTAACGCCACTACACAGCCCTAATATGTACTGTATGTAAAATAAAAATATTAATAATTATTTATGTTAAGTTGCAAATTTACTCTGATCTTGGTTTCAGAAAAAGACACCTGCAGGATATCTCAAAACAGGAAGTGGAATGAAAACCAAGGGTTGTCTCTGGGTTCTCCGTCAGGTCAGCCAACCTTTATGAAGTGTGACCTCCATGATGATGCAGTCTTTGGGACCAGGACCGGGGCCCTTGTGGCCGTCAGCCTCCTCACCCCCCGAGGGGACGGGTGTTCCCCCGCTGGTGTTGGAGTTGGGCGAGCTGGAGCGGCTGAGGAGGGTGGGGGTCGGACAGGGGGTCAGGGTGGGACTACGCAGGCGGGTTCGGATCGTCAGCGTCACCACACCTTTTTTCAGTTGCTGTTGGAAGAACATGAAATGGGGTTGAATGCCCATGTCTGTAATGCATCGTCAACATACTTACAATGCGTTACAATCTGCTTATAACACTGTATAATTAAAGCTATAAGCACTTATAAATATCCATAATGCTTTATTACAATAATCATGACACATTATAACACATTTTATAAGACTTTTAAGGTCAATGGCGTAACATATTATTTCTATACATCTTTTTGTATGTATCATGGTGTATTATTATGTCCATAGATGTAAACAATGTAATATTTTTATTCTGTATTATAATGTGAGTTACTCTAAGTGGTTATTCATGCATTACGTTTAAATCTATGCAAGAATAACACACAATTTAATTTTCACTTTACTTAAGGCAAACAATGCACAGTATAACAGTGATTATAATGCATTTATGAAAAAATAATAATATATAACAACTATGGGAATTATAATACACTGTGATCATTGGGTGACCAGCAATTATGAAATATTATGATACTTGACCATATAAGTTATTATACATTGCTTTATAATTTGTTCTGAATATTGTTATACAGCATTATGAATGTTTAAGAATGTTTAGAACTATGATTATATAATGCTAGAAGCAGATTTTAACACATTATAAGTATGTTTATGATGCATTAGAGACATGGAAATGTTACCAAAAATCTGACGAATTCAAAAACTACTAGTTTTCCCAAAAACAGAACAACCAAAGCAGTTCTTGGTCTCTTCACAAAAACATTTAAATTTAGTCAGAGACATTCTTTTGTCTGAAGGAAAAACGAATGTCGTCACAGATATTTTTAGAAAATAAAAAAGTTTATCTTTCTTCAGCTTTTCGCAACTGACCGAACTGTTTTCAACAACACCAATACACAGAACACATTTCAACTATGCAGTCCACCTTGAAGGTCTGGATGGCCTGTTGGTGCGTGAGTCCTTGGAGAGACTCCCCGTTCACTTCCAGGATCTCATCCCCTGCACAGGGAAGCCCACGGTTAGAAATAGCATGGGCGTAAATGAAGATCACGGAATCGATAAATGGAAAGCAACGGTTACCCTCTTTCAGTCGTCCGTCGGCTGCCGCCGCTCCGTGAGGGAAAATGGTTTTGACAAAAATCCCCATCTGACCGCGAGCCGAGTCCTGCCCACCAACAATACTGAATCCTAGGCCCTATGAAAGGTAGATCTCATGTCAGAAAGGACGACAACGACACAGTAGTCATTTGTTTTTCTAAGAATATTGTGTTTTTATGGTGGTGACACAAGAGCTCATAGTACTCTGTTACCCCACTAGAGAGCTGTGCTCCCAGAATGCTCAAAAAGTAGGATGGGAGCCAGAGCCTTTAGCTACCAAGCTCCTCTCTGGGGAACCAGCTTCCATTTCCAATCCGGGTGGCAGACACACACAACTTTTAAGAGAAGTCTAAAGACTTTCCTCTTTGATTACGTTTATAGTTAGGGCTGGCTCAGGTTTATAGCTAGGGCCGGCTCAGGTTTATGGTTAGGGCTGGCTCAGGTTTATAGTTAGGGCCGGCTCAGGTTTATGGTTAGGGCCGGCTCAGGTTTATAGTTAGGGCTGGCTCAGGTTTATGGTTAGGGCCGGCTCAGGTTTATAGTTAGGGCCGGCTCAGGTTTATGGTTAGGGCCGGCTCAGGTTTATGGTTAGGGCCGGCTCAGGTTTATAGTTAGGGCCGGCTCAGGTTTATGGCTAGGGCCGGCTCAGGTTTATGGCTAGGGCTGGCTCAGGTTTATAGTTAGGGCTGGTTCAGGTTTATAGTTAGGGCCGGCTCAGGTTTATAGTTAGGGCCGGCTCAGGTTTATAGCTAGGGCCGGCTCAGGTTTGCCTTAGTCCAGCCCCTAGATATGCCACTGTAGACCCAGACTGCCGGGGGACTTCCCACTGAGCTCCTCTCTCCATCTGTATGAATCCATGTCCCATTAATGCACATTACAAACTTTGCTTCTACCCTGGAGTCTTTGTGCTTTCTTGCCTCACAGTTTTCCATGGATCAGGTTTACACATGGACGTGGTTGTGCCTTCTGCCGTGGACCAAATGACACCCACTGCTACTGCTATTATTAGTCACATTTCTATTACTATAACTGTTACTAATACTGCTTTTATTATCATTATTATTCTACTATATCAACTGTTGTTGTTATTATTAGTAGTTATTCTGCTTACTACTCTTATTATATGAATCATTTATGTCATATGCATTGAATGTGTTGTAAGACTATCATGTAGCACTTGGAGTGCATTCTCTGAGCTTTATTCATGCGCACGTGTCAAAAGGAGTGCACTCACCTTGCCCTGGCCTTTCATCAGCACTATGCTGGAGATAATGGACGGCTGCGCCAGTCGCCATGGAGACTCCACTTGAATGGTACTCAGGGAGCGGGCTGATTTCTTAATGATCTGATACTCCTGAATATTAAGAGATGAATATGAAAACAGCAAAACACAGTCAGACAAATTCATCTCGTGAGAACAACAGTTATTGATAGTGTGATGAGACGTTTACTTTTTTTATTCGAATGGTATTTTTGCATGAATCCCACAAACTTCAGGACGATATAGGATGACTTAACTCTGAGTCTGTGGTTCTAAATGTCTTTGTATCCAAACGTTTTAAACTCATTTTATTGGTTCTTTTTGTATATTTATACAGTATATTTATATTTACACATATTTGTTCAGTACTTGTGTACAAAACAGTCTTGTCTATTCTTTACCTTTACCTGTTTAGCTTTGTTGACCATGTTCCTAGCTGTTATTTCTATTGCTGTGTTAATAAATTGAGTCAAATTCCTTGTACCTGCACAAATACCTGACCAATAAAGCTGAGTCTGATGTCCCTTTCTATTTGAGTTGAGTGTGCAAATGCATGTACATCTCTCTATCTTTTTCCATCAACATAGGTATACGTGCTTGTGATTCATGTGCAGGCTGTTTTAAGGCAGATGCTATCGAGTGCTGCAAAAAAAGGAGTTAGCATTTTGCACTTCCGGTTCTCGCATTTCAAAGTCAATGGGTTTTTGGTTAGATGCCTGAAATAAGGTCTGTGGTTCAACACAAGCTTGAGAGATGTTAACGTTTTGTTCTACGACATAAAATACAGAGGTAGATACTCCACTCTTGAATTCAGAGGCGTTTAAGTGTTTAAAAAAAGGCGGTTGCTAACAAGTGGCTCAATGAGACTACTAAACGTCATCACACATACTATCTTCTTTCCATTTCCATCTTGTTGGTTATCCTGGCCTCAACCTATCCGCTATGGAAATCTGATTTTATGATCTGCATATGACCATTTTATGTCATGATAAAATATATATATTTCAGGCCATGACGCATGCTCTTTATGTACATCTCAACACCATCAGTCGAAGAACAAGGGGAGACATTCACTGACCTGTCTCACTCCAGCGGTGTCCAGCTGTTGGGGTAAGGAGTGTTTGCGGTGACCGGGTGGAGGCTTCTCCGCCACTTCACAGCTGCTCACACCGTTCTCCACAAGCAGCTCATCGTCCTCACCCACTGACTCCAGGCGACTGCTCCCTCCTGAGCCACCAAAAGAGAATAATTGACAGTGAATATCAAGGTCAAGAAGATACCAAACTCTGGGAGCACTGGTTGGAGCGCCACTACGGAAATAAGATGTACAAATGTAATTTAAATGTGTTCATTTCTGTGGAGTACAAACCCTGGGATCGACTGCCGAGCTTCATCGGCGTGGGGCTGCATGAGGATCCTTTGAGTGCCTCTCCCTGACTTTGTCCTTCAAGGTTCTCCAAGTTAGTCAACTGTAACAGGGTAAAAACACACAGAGATGTTCAATTCTTAAACAAATATGCACTGCCTGATATCTGTTACTTCCACAATCAAACCACAAAACACAGTTTTGTCTGTTCATAAACCATTTCATAAATACATTACCTTTTTTTAGATAACATTTTAAGTTCCATATATTGTATAGTTGTATAGTATTAGTGTGCTATTCCAAATGGACACTCTGTCGCTGCTCTGTTGTACTGAAAGCAGTCATTAAGGTGGTCCATCAGGATGGATCCTGACACCTCCATCTAGGATATCTCGATGTTTTCAAACAGGAGTACAGCCCAGGAAGCTTAATTATGAATGCTGCTATGGCAAAGGAACAACCCACTCTACACCCTCCTATTGGCTAGTGCCAAGGGGCAACCTTCGCTTCTGAAAAGTGCCTTAAACTTGCACTCTTTCCAGCAGGGGGCAACAATAGAAGTCAATGAGGGGGGTCACAACTCCAGGGGGTCACAGCGGACTGGTGGCCGCTGGTGTCTTCACAGCGGCGGGTGAAGTGGAGGGACCGTTAGACCCAGCACTGCTGATTGCCACCAGCCAGCAGTTCGGCTCATTTTCGGAAACTGGTGTAGCATTAAAGCATGGTGGAATTAGCAAGCTAACCAGCTAGGTTTACTTGTGAAAATTAATTGCAACATTATGGTCTCCTTAAAATGTCTTATTCAGCATTTGGTTTGTATTTAGCTCCACCCTCTCATGTCACTTCTAGTTCCAAAAAACCAAGATGGCGAGGCCAAATAGCAGAACCAGAGGTTTCAAAACTGGAATCCACAAACCAAAGGGTGATGTCACAGTGAGTAGGTCCACTTACATTTTATACAGTCTATCGTTAGTACTTGATGTCTTCATTGGTTGGGTTGGTTAGCTTTAGACAGACTTAGTTAAGTGCTACACAAACACACAAACATATAGTATATATCTGTGTGTACCAGGTAGGGGTTGTGCGAATTGGGGCTGCAGTCAGTCTGTGGGGAGCGAGAGGGAGCAGTATGAGATAGGGAGGACAAGGAATTGCAGGTGCTGACCAGGTCCGGCAGACTGGTGGAAGGGAAGCGCTCAAAACCCACGTCTGACTCCTCCTGCAGAGACAGAAAAGAAATTTAAGATGGCGTTGGTGAGACGTTGGTCATTTTAATTCATGCAAATTTAGTATGTTAGATATGTAGCTCTGGGAGAGGAGAAAGGGATGTGTTGTATGTTTCCATTTCACACAGGAACAATAAAAAAAAAAACATTATCACAGCAGGAGTCTCTCTTTGTTCATACAACCAATGTTGGACCTTTACCTGGAACTTGGCCAAAGTTGTCCATATTATGGAGCTAGGCCTGTCACGATAATTATTATAGATTTGTCTTACAATATATGGACATGACTCCGATCACTTCTACGTTATCGACTTATCGTACGATATATGGACATGACTCCGATCACTTCTATGTTATCGACTTATCGTACGATATATGGACATGACTCCGATCACTTATACGTTATCAACTTATCGTACGCTATATGGACATGACTTCTTTATATCGTACAATATATGTACATGACTTCTATCAATTTTTATATTATTGACTTTTTGTACGACATATGGACGTGACCTCCTAATATTGTACGGTATATGGACATGACTGCGACCATTTTTACGTTACCGACTTTTGTATGATATATGGACATGCCTTTAATATTTGTGACGTTATTGACTTACTGTACAACTTATGGACATGACTTCAATCATATTTACACTATCAACTTATTGTACGATATACGGACATCCCTTGAATAATTTTTACGTTTTTGACTTATTGTACGATATATGGAAATGACCGTGATCCTTTTTACGTTATCTACTTATGGTACGATATATGGACATGACCTGAATAATGTTTATGCTATAGTCTTATGGTACGATATATGGACATGACCTGAATAATGTTTATGCTATAGTCTTATGGTACGATATATGGACCTGATTTACATACACACGTTTGTTTACATAAGAAACATTTGAGGCGACATGATCCCAGTATAAACGGCAGGGTTTTCCCTACCATTGTTAAGACTTGGACATTGCGCGGCCATTGTACATTAATGCGCTTCTGTTATGATGCTATTATGTTATCATTATGTCAAGGGCATAAAAAAGTCTTAGAATGACTATAATTTCCTTCATTGTCATCATTTCAGGGACAATAAATCGTCCAACAAAAAATGTTTTCTTGACAGACCTATATGGCTCTTGTCTTCCCACATGCATTGGGAAAAAAGGAAAAATTGTGGAGTAAAGAGAAGTTTTATTTAGTTTTGTGCAGCTCTGTGCAACACTGTGCAGGATGATGGGGGTGTATTTTGTTCTCACTGATCCCATTACTGTCTTGACCGCTATCCAGGTTGCTGGATCTGGAGCTGTCTAGAGTGTTCCCTGAGATTCGTACTGAAATGATGACGGCTGTGTGACCAGTTGCACAAGAGTAAAGTTGCCATCTTTCCAAACAGACGCCACAGTGCTTCTTTATTTTTTTTACTGTATCTTACACTCAAAGCATGGTTGTTGTACTTTAGGGCTGCAGTAACATTTAGTGAGAATAAGCCACATTTATTTTCAAAAGGCAGCTGTCTGTCTGTGTGTGTGTTTGTGTGTGTGTGTACCTACCCTGCTGGCCAC